ATACAGTAAAGAAATATTAGAATTCTTTCTGTTTTTCTAATTGATGAATAATAATTTGGAGAAGCCATAAAATCGGAATTTAGTTAATGAACCCTCAAAGCTTGGAGTGACAATGAAGAATCAGAAGATCTCTTCTTTTTCTTTAGGAAAGTGAATGTGAGAAAAACTAATGACAGTTTAGAGATTCAGAGCTCCATTGGCTGAAAAAGGTGTTTGACAGATTCGAAATTTACCGTCGAGACCAATCACAGATAAACAAATTCATTACTACACAGTTGTTGTGTTCGGGCAGATGGTTAACGGAAAAACAGATTTGAAACAGTCTTTCCTTAAACAGATTATTTCAATTCGCATGTAAGCTTTCAAAATTGTTCTCAAACGCCTTACTTAATCATTGAACTGATAATTCGTTTTGAAAGATTAAATTCTAATGAAAAACAAGAATAGAAACATTGAGTTTTATCCATAAGTTTCTATATAATTGACAATGAAACTACTGGTCTATAATAACGTCAAGCATCCTCTTCATCATCTCAGGTATCAGATTAGTACAATAGTTTCTCAACAAAAAAGAAACTTGTTGTGGGATAAGTTGCAGTGCCTATACGAAACCTTAGATGAAGTCTTAGAGAAAACTACAACTTGGAGTGACAATAAAGAATCAGAAGATATCTCTTCTTTTTCTATAAGAAAGTGAATGTGGCAAAAACTGATGACAGTTGAGGGATTCAGAGATTCATTGCCTGAAAAAGGTCATTGAAAGATTCGAAATCTAAGAGAAACATTTTTTTAATACATTTAATAAGGTCATACAATGACAAAATGGCCTTTGTACATAAAGTGAGTTATTTCGTTTTATGAGAAGACAGTTTCTTGATATCACAGAGGATGGATACATAAAAAAAGTAGATGAATGTTACATTTGACGTTGAAGGACTATTCATTTTCTACGAAGGACTTGGCGGTTGAATACTAGATTTAAATAAAATACCGAATCAACCTGACAGAATGGTAAGGAACCATAATATTGTTGAAAATATTGTAAATAATGTTTATTGTAAATAACGTAGACGTGAAAAATAATTCCTTCTATATACCCAGGTCAGACAAAATTCACTTAAAAAGGTACTACTTTGACTAATTTTGTATAATTGTCTTTATAACCTGAAGACGATTCATTTATTTATTTATTTATTCTGAATTCGGGACACATACAGGTAAAAGAACCCAAACAAGTATCCACTAAAATACAGATTGTGCTAACTAAACTGGCGTTCAACAGGTAAATGATCTAAATGCTTAATCTAAAACATAAATGATTAAAAATTGAATATTTTCCTTATGTTACTTCTATACATTTGTAAGGACATGGAGAAAACGTCCAAATTAGAACAGTATCTGTTGAATGAGTCTGTAATTCTATTTATTGGAGAGTTTTTCCCCACATTGGTGTTATATGTGGAAGTAGCTAATAAATATGCATTCCTTGTGTTTCTCTGGGGTACATGAAAGGACATCATTGCTATCAACTCAGGCGAGTCAATAAGATTCGTTAAAATTTTATAGCCAAACACTAGATCCGAAGTGATTCTCCGTTGTTCTAGAACACCAATTCCAGCAAGTTTCGACATGAATATGTTATGATCAACCTTGTCAAAAGCCTTGCAGAAATCAGTATACAGTGAATCAACTTGTTCACGATTGTGGATACTAACAATCGAAACGTCATAAATTAACCTTGGTTTGAAATATTTTTTCATTCTTTACATTCTTTTACATTTTTTCATCATTTATTTTGATCATTTTATTTCCATTTAACTTTTTTGTTATTGAAATGATTTGACGTTTCATTAATTGTTATTTTTATATATTCCATCTTCTTTTTTCTAATCACTTTTTGACATTATAACTTTTTCAATCAACTCTACCGAATATTTATTTGATTTGATCTTCCATAGATCTCCAATCTGTTGAAAACTCTCCAGACACGAACTATGAATAAAAAACATNGTACACTCTGAATGGCTGTCTCACCGCCTAGCTAGCTGGGTGATAGTTTGAGGACACCACGTGACAAGTTGGTGCACTCTGGTTGGTTGGGTGGCGTGTGTGTGCCTTGTATGGCGAGCTGAAAGGCAACCTGACTGGTGTGATGACGTCACTGTCTGCCTGAACTGGGGTTGTTGAAGAAGATTCTATGCATCATTATTATCATCATTATAATATTATTGACAAGACTACAAAATAGAAAAACAAATATAATTAGACCAATGTGGTAATCTATATGTACGCGCCTCGTATATAGATAACAATAATCAAGAGTCATATTAGCACATAGAAATGAACTTTGGAGAATGCTTTCGAGAGAGGGGAACCACAGTTATCTCTCAGAACATCAATTCGGAGACAATTTTTGACATCGTTAGTAAATTATCAGGAACAGCTGCAATACATACGTTTTTTTGTCAATAAATTGAAATAAACTTCCTCGCGTAGAAAATAGGCTACAAAATAATAATAGTTATTTCAATGTGGAGATGATCTGATTCAAATTACTTTGCAAATGAGAGTAAACATATCGATGCTTTCACATATTTCACAGTGGTGGACTATTAATGCCAAAATGAATAAATAAATAATAAAATATAGAAGTGATGGAGTGGAGGGTATTTCGAAAAACAAACCTAATATATTTATACAGTTTGTGAAGTTTTTGTCTGCGAATACAGACTTTCTCAACACACTAAAATCAAAAAAACAATAGGAAAGAGCTTGAAAAAATTAACCTTTGAAAGAGATGACTTTAGAACACTTCAAAATTGATGGTTATAATTATGTAAACATTTACAAAACTCTGGCGTCAGAGTTTTGAAACATCTGACATTGGTAATGTCGTGTCCGAAGCTAACGGAAGTAATAAGAGTGACATTAATAGTGGAATAGATTTCTCACTCAAAATAATCTAATCATTAGCTCGTTAATTACAGATTGGTATATCAAATCTACGCATTCGGGAAAATAATATATTGATTATTATTATTCATTCCATCACAAATCAATGAAAATGAATTCAATTCTCTGCTTAAAAAATATAATGAAACATTAGCCCATCCTTCACTTAGGAAAAAAACTTATAATGAAGAATATACTAGTGGGAAGAAGATTGCCGGTGGTCAGGTATATGAGGGAATCAAATATTATTCATTTCTTAATATTGTAAACAAAGCCTCCAGCATTAGAAATATAAAAATATCAAAATTTTAAATGAAATATTGATGCTTCATAATGTCTCTATAATATAACTTGCCATAATTGTGATTCAAATTATATAGGAACAATCAGAACATAATCGAGTAGAATAACTTCACATAAAACTGATTCTGCATCGAAACAGGTCACAAAATTGAATTTTAATTCAGAAAGCAATATGTCTGGAAGATTTCTTGAAATGATCCAAGTCAACAAAAATCCGAAGAATTTGAATCTATTTTCTTATTAGTCAGTGGGCTATGCTTGAAGACTGGCACAAAACAAATCTAAAGAAATGAACTTTAAACGTTTAAAGTTCATCTAAAGAAATGAACTTTGAACTTTCGATTTTCAATTATGGAATATCATTGACTTTAGGTCGATGATGGCCCCTATCTTGCACAGACGAGTGGCTAATGAGACCAAAACCGGTCTGCAAGTGTGCCCGTTCCAAAATTGAAGGTCGACTCTTTCAGTTGTATTGCCAATTGCATATGCAAGAAATTTTCTGTGAAGATTCCTGCACTGATGCCTGTCGGATATAATCCAACGCCCTTCGTTGTATTAGCCAGGGGAGTAGTTGTTTTCTGATAGGCGTCAGTCCATTCAACCTACTGTGTAGGTGTTTATCGAGACTGGCTTGAACGTTTAAAGTTCATTTCTTTGGATTTAATTTGAATCTAAGTAATATTTAAAGTCATTTGCTAGAGCTGGGTACTCTTCATTCATATATAAAATTCCGGAATGAGTTACATACTGCATGAATAATTCATTGGATTATTTGAGATGGAAATCCTTTTTATTATTAATGTCATTCTTGCCATTACAGTAAGCTTTGGTCATGTCTTGTTTTTGTTAACTTTTACAAGTAACTTTAAAATAGTATGAAAAATTTCATGTTTTGATGTTTCAGATTTTACAGTTTGCACTTTTAAATCACAGTGGGACTACTAACAGAGGACATTATACAGCATACTGCAGACACCCGTATACTAGCGCATGGCACAAATACAACGATTCACACGTGTCACCAATTTCACCAAAGTCGCTTGTGAGTGGAGAAGCATACGTCCTCTTTTATGTAAAGGATGGAACAAAATCGCGCCTTCAAGATAACCGACGGAAAGTTTAACTTTTAGTTTCTTCAATTACTTACATTACAGTTTGTTAAATTTTAAATAAAGTGCAAAGCAATATAAAGTGGCAGGTATAATCTTCATTTTGGTCAATTTTTCCCATTGTAGAGCCCTGAAAATCAACATCGGTAATGAAGAAGTAAATGTATCTATGAGTCTTCACTGATTCTGTCCCAAACTATGTTATAATTCCAAAATAGTAAGCACTAAATTCTCAGAAATGACAGACGTTTCCGCCTTAATCTTTCTCTTGCAGTGGCGTTCGGAAATTAAACTACATTGATGAGGAAAAGTGATAATGAAATTTATAGAATAATAACCTTGACAACAATGTTTTCTTTTTCATGCAACATTTCTGAGAATTTTGGGATCACAAAAACTATTCAGAAAGCATGGAACTTATTGATGTATTTTATGGTTATTATTTATATCATGAACGAACTTGAATTTTTCACCAAGCACCTCACTGTCAAAAACTCTCATTGCAGAAAATTATTTCAGCGGAGATAAGGTGATAGAATTTATTCTTAATGATTAGCTGATACTTTCAAATTACTCAACACCGTTTTGATAATACTGAAATTGATATGACATGATTTTTAATAATCAACTTACCATAAAGAAACTTCCAAAATATAACACTATTTTGTCGATTGGAATGAACCAGTTGAACGATATGGTAATAAAAAGAGTGGTAATAAAATAAATTATCAACTAATCCATTTGTGTGTTTAAAAATGAATAGTTGTAAATAGAGCCTTGGATTAAAATTAACAATCAGTGTGAATCTCATGTCAATTCAGACATTACAGGTTTCTGCAAAACAGTACGGAGTACGGAGTATGTGTGTTGTAACTCTTCCCGTCCAGTTGACAGGAAAGAAATTATATTGGGTTGTTTCAAGTTTTGTCAGTTTTGATTTCATGTATTTTTGTAGTCCCATTTCTCGATAAATATTTATTCTACTATATCGTGGTATATACTGATGAATAGAGAATTTGATACTCTAAACATTGATGTTGTTAATTTTTTTCTACATTTCCGTGTACTTCCTCTCTTCACCTTATTACTATATGTTATCGTTGACAGATCTTCGGCAAATTTGTCAAATTGACCCAAGGCATTGCTGAAATAGTCCGAAAAATCAACCAGGCATTTGGCAATGATAATGTTGATGAATGCATTTTTCGACGATGGTTTTTCAAGGACAAAACACAAGCACTACAAGAAAATCCTTAAGGAACTCTAAGAGCGGAGCCTGTGCGAAAGTAGTGATTCACATTGGATTTGAATCGCTGGAGATTAAATCCATTTGAAAAACATTCTCAGGAAGTTTATTTCACATAAACTCAGTTCCCCAAATGAAAACGTTCTTGAACAGTGAAGTTCGAGGTGTACTGAGTTGAACTTCAAAACAATGAGCAACCACAGTCCGTCGCGTATTTCTGATATGTACCGCTCTTGATGGAATCAAATTTGCCAAGTCACTTGAACATTTCCCGTGAAAGTATCTATAGAAGAGAGACAAATCTCCAACCTTTCTTCGATGTTCCAGACTATCAAGATTGCAAGTGATGTTCGCGTCTCCAATCAGGCGGATGGCTCTTTTCTGGATGGAATCCAGCAGCTTCAGGGTATGCTTAGGAGCTAAGCTCTATACATGAGAACAATACTCCAAAGAAGGTCTGATCTGAGCTTTATAAAGCATTAAAAGTTGCTGAGATGTGTACAGTTTTCTGGTTCGGAACAGTGTTTAAAGCTCTTGAGATGCGGCTTTTGCAATTCCAGCGACATGAGTGTGCAAAGACATATTGGTGTCTATTTTAACCCCCAACAAACTTATCGAAGCAGAAAGTGGAATTGTCTGACCTGACATTATTATATCTGGATGTTTGGAGAAAACCGATGCCTGGGTTTTTGTGGCATAGAATTGAAGCTGGTTATTTTCACCCCAATTCGAAATTACTTCTAGATCCTCATTAAGATATGCAAACTCCTGCTGCCGGTGAAGATGTGCATCCGCCGACGATGTCCTGGAATCCAGATGGAATGATGTTTCTGAGATTTTAGCCTCGAAGATGAGCCCTGACAACAGGAGATATTTACGACAGTGCTTGGACACCGATGAGACACCCAGGGACTTCCCGAAGGTGGAAACCCACAGTGGTTACTGTATGATGGTCAGCAGCGGATGTAAATAACTATAACTTTCTGCAACCGAATAGGACCTCAAGTACTGCATTTTGGGTCGTTTTCACATAAGTAGGCCAGGGTAACCCTGGGAATCTACAGAAGAATGTGCAGGAAAAATTGGGGGCTGAACCCAAATATGACACTCTGGTTATATACAAGGGTACTGATGATAACCCATGATAACATACGATGTAGAGACTTGGTTGACAAGAACAAAGCAATCGGGTATGGCTAGACTATTAGGCGGCATACAAAGGCTGGCGTGCCTAAGTGTCCCGGGAGCCATGAGAATGACCCCAACTGCAGCATTTGAGGTCCTACTCGGACTTTCACCATAGCACAGCTACATATAAAGATAACCTCGACTGGTGACACATTGGCTAATACAGGGGTAAATCCCAGTCAGCCAGTCACACGGTGCAAATACATGAAACTGTACAATGAACTGAAGGTAGATCCAATACTAGGAATGCCCGTTGATAACACAGTTCCGTAGTACAACTTTCGAAAAAATTTCAAAATCATCATATTAAATAGAGAGGATTGACAAAATGCTCCACCGGTAAAAGCGGAGGAAATTTGGTATACAGATGGCTCAAAGACCCAAGATAGAATGGGAGGCAGAGTAAAGACGAGATTCGCACCCAGCCTCGGACATAATGCAACTGTGTTCCAGGCAGAAGTAGTGGCCATCGAACACTGTGTAGGGAAAATGAACAGGCGGAAGGTCCCAAATAAAACCAATGCCATTTTCTCCGACAGCCAGACGGCAATTAAGGCGCTCAGCTCATTTCAAGTCTTCTCAAGACTGGTGGGAAGCTGTCTAAGCTCACTCAAGGAGCTAAGTATCCAAAATAGGGTCACTAGGGCAATGAGGAAGCTGATGTTCTAGCCCGTAAAGGCGCATCCAAGGCTATGATCGGCCCAGAACCCTTCTGCGGGCTAGCGAAAGCATGTATAAAGACATCCATAAACTCATGGATGAAAGCCGAATCGATAGATTGGTGGAATAAGAGTTCATGAAGAAATCATTGCCCAGATTGACGGAAGACCTGCTAAACCACAACAGTGAGATAGTAAGGGTAGTGGTAGGTCTACTAACGGGTCATAGCCGACTCAGGAAACATTTGACCAACATGGGTCTGACAGAAGGAACCCAATGCAGGTTCTGTCAAGAAGAGAAAGAAATCGCACTGCTTGTGCTCTGTGAATGCAAAGCGATAGCGAGGCCGAGACACGCAAGATGCGGCGGGAAAGAGAAACCAGAGGCTGCCAGCTATATGAAGGGGTCGGTGTCAAGGCTATATAGTCTCATCAAAGAGATCAAGCTAGACAATGAGCTCTGACAACCAAGGAGCATCACAATAGATATTAAAAGGTCGCAGTGAATCAGGCCATGGGCCATCTCCCCGACAATCTAATCTAACCGGGACAAACCTTCACAGCAGAGTCCTATTGTGAGGAAATGGACGAAATGTTTCAAAAAATGCATCAGCAGCAGCAGACACTGGTCAAGAGAAAAGGTCTGAAAATGAAACGAATTGAATTCTGCCTCACTCAATACACTCCCCATACCTCTCGCCAACTGACTACCATCTTCTCAAGCACTTCGATAACTTTCTCACCAGTAGAACCTCCGCCATTCAGAACCTGACAAAAAAGTCCTTCGTCGACTTCATCGAATCCCGCACACACAATTTTTATGCTGACGGAATTATTCGAATTGTGTTGTGTTAGCAAAAGTGCACTGATTCAAATGGTCCTCATTTATATTGAAAGCGTATTCACTGAGATATTACAGACTCATAAAAGAGGAAAAAACTTTTGAAACAACATAATACATAATATCTGTAACTACTGAAAAAAGCGTCAATTACATGAATGTTTTTTGTCAGCTAATGAACTTTAACTTCGTAGGCGTAGGCAATGACCAGATACATTACTCAGCACCGTCGAGATCAATCACAGATAAGCAAATTCATTTCCCCACAGTTGGTGTGTTCGAGCGGATGGTTAACGGAAAAACAGATTTGAAATATTATTTTCTGGAGTAAAAAAATAGGTTGTAAGTAGATAGAGGGTCCCCAATTTAATAATCCATATGTCATAACATTATGAAATAGTAATGGTATGTCATGATAGCCGCTTCCCTACCTAAATTAATTTTAAATTGTCTAATAGCATAAATGGCCTTAGATAACCTACTCGAAAGATTGTCTGTGTGAGTTTTCCACGACAAGTTGCTGTCCAAGTGAATTCCTTGCTTTAAGAGTATCATAGAAGCTGTTTTCGCTTTATCGATTTGTAATTTATTTGCATTGAACCAATCATTAGCTGACTCAGTTATGTCCTGGATAACGGTGGTTTCCTCTCCTTGTCTCACTCTCGGATAAAATGTTGTGTCGTCGGTATATAAGATAGTCTTCTTGAAGATTGAAGATTTGATTTGAATGCGAATGTAGTGGCATAAGTAACAAAACAAAATCGAAAAACTCACTTGGAAATGATGGAGAAAGCCAAATCTGGAACCATCCTAAAGACTCATATGTGGATTTTTACAAAAAAAAACACTTAATAATATTCAGAGCTGCCCGATCTAGCACCAAACACCAAATACCAACTTTTTTATCTGATCAAAGTTCTCCAATCCATAACACAAATGTGTAACATTTAACCGATCCAGTAAAAAGCTTCGATAAATACTGAAAATTAAGCGTTTTTTTTCAATTTTCGACGCGGAAATCGAAAACAAAACTATAAATATTTTTGTTCGCGTTTTGTAATGGAACAAGATTTGTAGAAGTCCAGTCCATTAACTAAAACTGTGTTTAGGTTAATAATACTTCATTGATATGTTTATGAGCTCACTGTGAATATATATGAGTTTATTTCAATAGACTCCGGCAAATTTCTTTTTGTAACAGACTTTAACGGCATTTTTTCAATTTGATCGCATGTGAGTTGATATATTGTCTTAATTCTTGTTTTGTGTTGTTTAATCCACGGTATTAGGCAAGATAAAAAGGAGAAGATTTTATACATGACTCTCTACAAAAACGATCGTCGGAATATTGTATTACTTCGTATACGAAATTTAATTTCTCAGAAAGTTTGGATAATAAAATCAATAAGCAGCTTCAGGGTATGCTTAGGAACGGAGCTCCATACATGAGAACGATACTCCAAAGAAAGTCTGATCTACGTTTTTGAAGCATCAAAAGTTGCTGAGGTGTGTATAGTTTTGTTTCGGAACAGTGCTCCAAGCTTTTGAGAAGCGGCTTTTGCAATGAGCCTTTTTCCTGAGAATAGTACAGTGAACGTGTCACGAGAGGCAGCACTAGTAGTGGGGACAAATATAAACTATTCACATGTAAAACAGTGTTATTTACGTAATATTAATTTATAATTTGAAAGTATAAATCTGACATGAAAAATTATCTTGTGCTAGTATAATGCCAACAAAGCATTGCTGTTTTGCCAATTTTACG